TCCAGTTCATTGCACGCCACGTTGTCCCCTCCTCCCCCCGCAAAGCAGCGTGAAATTGATAAACAGATTTCGGAATGATTAGAAAATCAAAGAATATGCTTTTATCCATTCTTTTGCAGCAATTCCTTTTTTTTTTTTTGTTTGATAGACATCGAAACATGCTTTCACTTTGTAGATCCTTTGGTAGCTCCAGAATCGAAAATTCTTTTTGACATTATCGGAAGTTCAAGCTTACTTTTATAAAATTGCTCTAACAGTCTGCAAAAAATAATAAGCCGGATCCAATTAGAAGATTAAGGAACAACGCAATCTGCAACTTTAACTGAAATAGATAATTAGATAATTTTAGCTTAGCTTATACCTTCTGTTATACAGTTAACACGCATGTGTAAACATATTATGCGCATGTGTAGACACATATGCGCATGCGTTAATGCAATATGCGTTGACACATGCGCAGAACGTTTGTAGCTTTGAGGTCTGGATTATGGACATCCGGATTAAAGACTTTTGACTGTATATTTCATATTTCTTCTGAATGTTCATATTACTAAAGAAATAAAATTAGCCACTTTTTTATACATTCTAAATGCATTTAGTGTTTTTTAGAATAACAGAAATCTTTAATTAAAATCCAAAAATTCTAAAATGAAAAGGAAATGTGTTGGAAGAAAGAAAGATAGAGTTACTGATGCAGATTAAATTAAAATTAAATTGTGTAATCTTTGACCACTAGTCCATATTTTTAGTTTGAATATGACTGTTCTTGTCTAATTAACTCACCGTGATCTGTAATTGATTTTGTTAGCATCAGAATCTGTCTTTATGTTCTAAGTTCTTTTTGAATAAGAGGCTTCTTTAAACTTTTGTCTGATATTGTAGTTACATAGCGATAATTTGCTTCATGTCTGTTGGGGGTTTGGGACTATTTTAACTTTTACCAGATCAAGTAAACCCTCATAGGTGCATTTTGGAGAGGTTGACAAGTTAGGAGATAAAGCACGCAGAAACTAACGAGAGCATTTGTTTGTGTATTGAGACAAATCTCTAATTGTTAGTAAAGATGCTTAAAGAGAAGGAAATCTATATAAACTAGCTTAAATGTTTGGGAAGGCTTCAAATTAAAATGACGGATAAATATTTTGTTGAGTGTTGTTGTTACAAAACATAAATGTTTTGTAGCTTTAAATGTGTAAATATCCTAATATTGTTTAAGAATCAATGTCATAAATTACATGTATAAACTGGGAAATTTTATTAGATTTTGATTTTAATAGAGCTTTTTTAACAAATATTTTTTAAAAATTAAAATTTAATAGTGGCCATGTAAATCCATAATGACTAAGGTTATCTAATTACCTAATTTATTTATTTATAACTAATTGCTTACCCTTAAAAATTAATTCTACATATTAAAGCGACTTATTGTCTTTGATTAATACTCACTGTGGTCACAAGATAAAACACAAAAATGTAAAAATTCAAGTAAAACTTATTCTTTGCATTTAGTGAGACTTAAACACAAAACAACTTATCACCTCTGCTGCTTTAATAGCTTATTGGAACCTTAAAGTATATTAACTGGGTTACAAAACCTGGAACTTTACACAAAACTATGGTACAAACTGCATCAAACAGAGCCTGACTAACTTTCAACACTTGCCCAGCTGTGCCTACACCAGGCCTTTCAGTTTTGTTCTAATCAGCAGGTCTCTCTCTCTAGACAAGCAGCAGCAGTGACAACATTCAGTCTTTTGTTATGAATCATGCTGTTTATCATCTTACTTCTCATTTTTATCTATGACATTCGACATAAAATCTACCTGCTATTTACTAAACCTCTAGACGACCAAGTATGTGACAAAATGAGACATGAAAAAAAAAAAAAAAAAAAAATCAACATAAAGCTAACCATTAGTAAAATGTCAATTTCACTTTTTCCAAATATGTCCAACTATTATAAGTAATATAACTTATTATAAGTGTAAATGCAAACTATCCTTATCTTCAGGGCAGATGTTTTTATTTTATTTGGCTTATAATTCCTTACTAAATGTAGTATTTCATCTCGATGTACTTTGTCTTTGATATGATTTAAATCAAATTCCTCATCATTATAATTCGCTTCCGATAGTGAATTATGGAAAACGAAAAAATTTTGATTGACAAATTAGTCGGTATTCTCGACACAGCAATTATAGGACTTGAACAGTGGAAATTTTAACTAAAGAAAATTATGTCTGTTTATAGAATTAAAGAGAATGTATTATCACATAAAAAACGAAGCAACTTAAACAACTTACATTGAAAGAATGGTTAATAAAGTAAACAAATAAATATTAAGCTTTTTTTTTTGTAAATTTGATACCCTTTAGATCATAATTGTTCTTTATTTCATAATTACGGTTTCATATTTTTAACTTTACAATTTCTGCATGCCATCTTACCAGATTTAAACTGATGATCTATAATCCGGAAAAATTGATAATCCGGAATCACCAAAGTCCCGACGAGTCCGGATTAATGACTTTTGACTGTAATTGATTACAAAAGACTGAGGGTTTCATGAAGAAACCCTCAGTCTTATAGCATTGCTACTTTATAACATAATACAATAATAATGCAGTATCATTCTGCTAATAAGCCCACCAGCAGCCAAGCGGTAAAGTTGCTGAATGGTGGTAGTTCGGTCTGAGGTTCGAATCTCGCAAACGGGCTGGCTGTATTTCTGTTTTTGTGGTTTTCTTCCAGTTGTAACGTGTAAGGGGATTTTTTTAATGTTTTGCGTATCTTTAGAATTTCCAATACACAGTCTTGTATGCTGGAGATGAATTTTTTTTTTCCCCTGTTTATTCCATACAGTGTTGCCATTGCTTGCTTTAAAATCATTGAGTTTCTTAATCAAAAACTCATAAATGCTTTACAAAATATGAAATAGATATTAAAACAAATTCCCATTTCCAAATTTGGGCTTCCAGATGCCTGTATTCGGGTGGAATAATACATTATTCAAAATTTGATGGTTCTAGGTACCTTTGTTTTATCACAATGCGAGAAACATATATGCATTTATGCAGCTTCTTATTTAATTTCTTTAAATATAATATTTGGTTGCAACAGTTTAAAAAGTGAACCGACATTTAAAGTTTTCAACGCAAATATTTTTCCCATGCTTTCCACAACTTCCGTACTCGCAGAATATGGGATGTTGGGCAGACCTGTTTTTCACTAGCAGCCCACAAACTGCAGCTGACTCTCAAAGCGTAGACTAGGTGTCCTGGTTCAAGTCCTGGCAAGGGCATTGCACATATTTGACGTCTCTTGCTTCAAAATAAACTAATGGCTCTACAATGTAGAAAAACTTCTAAAGTTTTTCATACATTAACCCAAATAGGAATATTATCTAGAGGTGTCTCAGAAACACTGAAACCATTACTGAACCTTTTCATGAATGTTGTTTCTTAATTTTTTTTTTTTTTTTTTTGAAAATTTACATTTGTATTGGAAATATTTAATGTATGTTTATTTTTAATCAGAGATATGCCAAGTGTTGGCTGAGTAAGGTCTGTACTTAAGATTAGAAATAAGAGAAGTTAAATTAAATTGCAGTAAATTAGCAATTAATGAAAAAAAAAAAGAAATAAACTAAAGCAGTAAGCATGATTCTGTTTTGAATGCCTTAAAAAGTGAGTTATATTTTTTAATTTTAACTTTCGAGGAATGGTACTTTATCTAATCTTTTTCAGTGAATCATAAATTCTATGAATTATCTCTGTGAATGATAATTCATAGAGTTACATGCAATACCAAACAGTGTGAGACTTGAAAAGGGAATTTCGAGAATAAAAATGGCTACCAAAACATAATGAGATGTGATTGCCAGATTTGAGGGCAGATAAAGGAAAAGTATATAAGGAATAAAAAAAAATTGAAACAATTTCTGTGAATTTTCTACAGAAATTGACAGTGCCCTTACCAAGAATAGAACACATGACTTTCCAGTAACGATTTTATTGTGCGGAAAAAATATAGTTCAGGGTACCCCTTGGCGAAAATTGCTAATTTTTTGGCACCATTCCTGTTTACGTGCAATGCCCTCCCAAGTAAATTGGCATCTAAAACATGATTTAAACATAAAAAAATTGTAATCTTAATAAATTACATTTTAAATCAGAAAAAAACAAGGAAATAACATAAAAATGGAAATACATGTTATCTAATCTGCATACTACAAAAAGGAAATATCGACTTAACCTTAATCAGAAATTTATGTGTCTTTGGCGTGTGGCGCACAGAATTAATTAACTGCATCAATAAACTGTTTAAAATTATTAGAACTAGAATCTTTATACTGCCGTTGCCACATAAATTCACAAAAATATCCTCCATAGTGCCAGACTGTCGGTGGCATTTCTTTCAAAAATCCCTTTTTATTACACCCTGCATAACTTCAATAGTGTTGATGAGCTCTGGTTTCCGGGTCCTTAAATGTCACTGCATGATTTATTGAGGGAGGTGAACAAAGCCATTTATACCTTTTATTTACACACCAGTCAATCATTGCTTTCATTTCCATTCATTCCAAATCATACAGAAACTTCAGGTTATTACTGGTAGCCATTTTACGGTGTGAAGCACAAAATAAGCAATATAATATACTTCCTAATTGACATTCAATGTAGAAATAAGCCTTGAGAAATATTCTCCCAACAATCAAATTCAGTCTTGATCATGCATTACAACCAATCATGTCATGATAGAGTTTCCAAAACATACACCATAAAATACTCAGGTTATCATAAATAAACAATAACTTGATGATAAATGAAACAAAAACTTGCCGATAATCCAAAGGGTACCCCAAAATATAGACTATCCTATTGTGCTTATCATTAGCTTACCAGTGCTTATCAGAAAAATGCATTAGTTTCTTACAAATTCATTACTTTAGAAATGCTTATTTAATTTTAATAATTTTTCATTGTGTTTTTCATCCTTAGCACCTTGCAGTTCAACACGTCTGCAGTAAAACAGACTGGAGAAACATTTTTTGAGAAAAATGAGCGTCTGAAGAGGCCACTTTCTCCTCATTTATCAATATACAAGTAAGCAATTTTTCTGTCTACAGCGATGATTTTCAAGGGAAGATAATCTGGGAAGGTGCTTTTTTTTTTTTTTCCCCTGTATTTACACTACACATGGCATATGTGTGTGCATGGAAAAGATTTTCCTTCTGGCTTTCACCATATGAAAATATTTAACTAAAATTTCGTATTTTTTAAAATTTAAAATTGATATCTTTTTATATTTCTAATCTAGTGTTATTCAGTTTCTCTGTCAGAAAATCAGTAAATATGATTGCATGCGATATTTCAAGTGATAACTATTTTTAGCAATTAAATTAGAAATAGATGCCTCCTGTGCTTTTCCATAATCGAATAATCCAATCCAATCCTAGAAATAGATGCCTGTGTTATTTTTACGCAAAGTAACATTATATTTCAGAAGTTCATTAGGATTTGAATAATCAGACCAAATGAAGAAGAGAACTTGAAACTTTATTGAAGCATTAACGATTTTTACAGATGCAGAGAAAAAACAAAATATTAAAAATAGGTCATTGTGCATAATACAGAGAAAATTATCAGATATTACTAAGTTCCTGAGTTCACAAAGGCTAGAAAAATAGAATTCTGTTATCTATTATTATAGCCTTTGTTACTAATATTTAAAGCTTTCCAATCTTAAGAGCAATGCTGGAATTGAGGTTTGCATCACAGTTAATTACAGATGATAGAGAACTAGAATATAATGAAAATTAATAAACAATTTAACTGCAGTTTGTGAAATATTAGCTAGCACCTTATACTGACCCATTGTCTTCATAACAAAACTGAAAAAAAAAAAAAAAAAAAAAAAAAAAAGTAATGTAGTTTAATAATACTCTAATTGAAAATGCATGGATGTTGAAAAAAAGAGCTACTTATAAAATTATGAAATTAAAAAAAGGAGTGATATGTAAATAACTTGGATGTTTCAGGCTCAGAAATCTAAGTTTGACATATTGTCAGGATTGGTCAATGAAACATTTCTCTAAAATTTCTTTTGGGTTGTGCTGTAAAGTATTTTTAAAATTTACTGAAGTTTTTGATGTTTCCCATTTTTGGTAACTTACCAACTTTTATGTAATTCATTTCATACAATATAATGAAAATTTTAAGTTTGATATACCATCAATGAATGTAGATACTTGAAATGATCTCTTGAACTGGCATTTATTTTATAATCCATCTTTTTTACATAATACAGTAGTACCTCCTGTAAATGACATTTCCTAACAAGGGACGCCTCTATTTAAAAGCCAATCTTTTGGTCTGTGTCCCTTTGAATTAGGCACATATTTATCTCTTAATAAGGGGCACCTGTATTTAAGGGACTAAATGTCTGGTCTAGTGGGTGTCCCTTATTGGGAGGTGCTACTGTATAATGAGGTAGCTTATTTGTATGATAATGATATATGTATCTGTAGGCAAACACCTCTAAGGAATGCAAAATTACACAGGGAGGATTTTTAGCAGTTTTAAAAATTAGGCATGATTAGTTTTTAGGCTGTTTAATTCAGCATTATTTTTCTTCACCATATCAGTTTAGTAAAAATTTTTTTGTACTACATTAAAACCAGTTGTTGTATTGTCTATGTAATTCATGGAAGGATGGTTGTCAGAGTCTCAAGGAGATTGGACTTCTACCTCCACCCCAGTTTCGAGGAAGAGCACATCGGGTGGTGGTCCAAGGGTCTCTGATTCCTCTCTCCTAGCATTAAACCACACAAGAGGATTTTTGGTTTGCCATGTATTTAGAGTGCACTCATGCTGCAAATACCCTATGCATGGTGTTCTTGCCTTGAATACTGATGCCGGAGAAGGTATCAGTATTCAAGGCTAGGCACTGATGCCTTCTCTGGAATTTGAACCTGGGCCCTTCGGTACCATAGTAGGCTCCTGTAACCACTATACCGTCTGGGTGCCGATTAAAATCAGTTAATGAAAAAATTGGAATAAAACTGAAATTATTAACAACTGTATAACCAATGGATTGAGAGGGAAATATTTAGATAGTGTTTTAAATAACAGTCATTGATTTTTAGTGTCAATGTGAATATGTTCATATGTGAATAGAATTCAAAAATTGACAGCATGTTTATTTTCTAAATTGTTTCAGTTGTTATTTTTACATGACATTAATTTTAAAATGTATATTTTTGTTCTAATGGTTTAATCTGTATTTCTATGGTAACCAGTTGAAAATATTGTATTTTTTTAGCTTAAGATACATTTTTAATATAAATTTTGCTGAAAAAGTAGTATATCTTGGAATCTATGAAGTTTTAAATTTGTAGAATTTTCCGTATTACTAATCCAAAATTTTTTCAATTACTAATTTAAATAAAAATATTCCTTTTTTATTTAAATTAGCCATTAAAAAGTCAAAAATCTATTATTAAAAGTGTAATTACTAGATTTTATTTTAGCATTTTTATTTTGTTTGCTTCAAATCAATTCCCGCCTCCCATCATTGGTATTAAATTAAAAAAGATATGTTCTAGAATTGAAGAAATATGACTGATAATAAGTAATTTTTCACTGTAGAAGCTGTTTTTAAGGGGTGTGATTTATTCAGCTCCTAAACTAGTTTAGACATACTTGATCATAATATTAAACCTTGTTTCAAAAACTTTCTATGCATATTTAACACTAGAATTACGGTGGTCTTTGTATACCTAGAATTACGGCAGGTGTCATTTTGACCCCTTGATAAGATATCTGCATATTTCTCTATATGATATATTTGTGAAAAAGAGATTAAAATAACGCAAATTATGACAACTACAGTTTATTTTAAAGAATATAGAGACTTTGCAGGTAAGTAGTCAAATAATGAACAAGCATTTAAATATTTCCGTTGAAAAATGTAATTTTTTTTCCCCCATTTTTGATAGCTTACATTTCAGAAACCCAGGAAATAAAATGTATAAATATTTATGCAAAATTTTTCTAAAAAAGTGGTTTTTAATCCAAATATTAAAGAATTTTAAAACAAACTTTTTGCTGTAAAGAGTACATAGAAATAGAAATATATAGAAATATTTTATTTACAGATAATATGTTAGTCAAGCACACACACTTATCTTTCTGATTTTTGTGTACAATATCCCACATACATATTTATTACAGTTGTTGCAAATATTAGAAGTTTTGTTACCTTTGCATTTCCTTACTTGACATCCCCCCCCCCTTTTTTTTTTTTTTTTTTTTTTTTTTGATTCCATCCACAGAGCCACTTGAAGAGAGAACAAATTTGTTTTTACTAGATATATGTTCTTCTCTTAGTTCTTCTGCCAAATGCAATAGAAAATCCTTTCCGCTGATATTTTCTTTTGTAACTTCCTTATACAGAATCCACACATTTATGCCTGCTAAGTCCAATATATTGTAGAATACATGTACTGGCCAACGGCGTGATGGTGCTTTCATAGAGTACTTCTTGCCATTTGATCCAAAACATCTATCCCGAATTTTGTAGAATTGTAAAACTGTATTACATCAGGAACCTTCTTTCGATTAGATTCAAATTCAACTGATGAATGGAGTGTACTTAACAAAATTACGCTTTTGTTCCTTTTGCCTTGATATAATGGTGTGTATTTAATTATGGCAAAGCACACTAGGGCTATCTGCCTAGGGGAAGGGATGCCTTCGTGGAGGACTTTCTAAGGGAAACTGGCTCGTATACATGTTACACATTGGGAAAACCACGAAAACACCCATGCAGTCAGCCTGTTCGTGGGATTCAAACCTCGGACCGAACTACCAGTGTTCAGCGACTTTACCGCTCGGCCACTGGTGGGCCCCTTGATAAATGTTATATAGTCGTGTTTCATCAGAACTGAAGAAAAAAGTTCTTTTCTTACATTTTTGAAACTACAGGAAATTTCTCTTTTTGCACGATTTACTGTTCCAACATGGTCCAATTTTTTTTTTTTTTATTTTAGGGATTTCGCAAGTTTTATTGATGTAACAAAACTGTCTGTAGTTATATTTCGGCCAGTATTTTTGTAAGGATCAACCAAGTGATTTACTACGTTCTCTCTAAACTTTGATCACTTGGTGTCATTTCATATTTTCCTAAATATAGAACTCTGTTTAATGAGTATTTTGTCCTAACGTCTACTGCTAGCCGAAATTTTATTCCGAATTTATCGGGCTTGTTAGGCATATACTGCAAAAAATGGCATCTTGTTTTTTGTAGGGAATAACTGTTCATCAATTGTAATGTTTTCATTTGGTTTGTAGCAAAGCTTACAGTTTTCTATAAAAGTATTCCATACCTCGGATATTGGTGCAAATTTATCACACTACAAACGTGAAGACCTTGTCAGTTTATTATCAAAACGAAGAAATTTCATAATTTCCAGAAACCTATCTCTACTCATAGTTTCATGAAAAAACTTTGGTCTCCAAGTCTTGGACCACAAACTAAGAATTAGTAAGCCCTTGGCGGCTAATGCCTCCCCACCTTACGTACAACAACGCTATGAATGCTTCCAGTTCTGCTAATAAAATAGTAAAAGAGTCATTATGAAGTTTACGCTTGGCTTCAGCATCAGTACACGCCTTTATGACACGTAAAATGTTTTCATTTATTATTAACTTCCATGCACTAAGAGCATGGAAGTTAATAATAAATGAAAACAAATGTGACGTTTAGCATAGGATGTCGGTCCTGCATTTTCTCGCAAGATATTTTGCAAGGGTGGCTGACCAGAAGTATTTGAAGTATTTTCAATTTTCCATACAGTTCCATCACTAGCAATTTCTTTACAAGTGTTAGTCTGAATTTCGTTGAATTTCATATTCCTTTTGAGGGTCTACTAGTTCCCGCTTTGGCATTCTTAGCTACGGCAGAATTTGAACTCGTAGAAAGAAATCCATTTGTACTTTCACTTGAGCTAGAGAATGATATTGCCTGATTACTCTCAATAATAAATTCAGAATCACAAGATGTTCCATCTCCATCTCCATCTTTATCTGTAGAATTATTTTCAATTTCAGAACCGGAATCAGCATCAGATAGTTCTTGTATTAGTTTCACGATTTCTTCATGTGTTAGCACTTTTCTACGCGCCATTAGTACGTCACTATAATAAATTCATGTAAACAGAATAAAATTTTCCACTAAAACTTGTTATGAATAATAAACAAAATATCTACGAAAAATCTACAAACATTCAGCTCGTAATAATCTCTTTTATCTGTTTTCTTCCGCAAAGAAAAGTATTGCACATATTTCAAATCATGTGACTGGCGATGTGAAGCAATGCAGACCCACCATATTCTTTTCCTTTGTTTGTATTTTATTTAGCAGATGCAAATAAAAATAGTTTACAGAAGTAACAGTGTTCAGGTAATTCAATGGAATGTATTCACATTTCTTTTCTCTCGCAGGGGTCAAAATGACACCTGTCGTATTTCTAGGTATAATTATTTGTTAGGGCTAAAATAAAAATACGATTTTCGTGAAATCTTTACTATTTCGTAAATCACAATGATTTAGAAACAGTCGAGAAAAGATTAAGATATTTGCGGAAAAAAAAAAGAAGAGCTGTCAGAGATAAAATTTGCTAGATGTCAAAATGACACCTTCCATAATTCTAGTGTTAATTAAATGTATCATATATTTTGACAGGAAATAATAAAAAGAGGAAGTCTTCATTTATATACTGTAAAATGTGAATTTTTTTGCTTTTAATACTTTCTGACGTAATCAAATAAAACTGTTCCAGCATTAATAGGTTTCACGTGATCCCACACATGAGAAGCATTAAGATATTGCATGTCATGTAGTAAACATAGATCGATAAACGAGCAAATATGTGTTTATTGTATTCACATGTTTAGTTTATGCTACAGATTGTTTCCATCTAGGCCCTTGGGATTTAAAATTTATCAAAGGTGGATTATTTCGTAACAGTGGATCGGTTTCTAATAATACATCAATCAATGTGTGTGAAAGATGAGAATGACTGTCTAACTAGGAATGTTTTACGAAAGGTCCTGTGAAGCTATTGACAAAGCCAATGCAGCAGTTTGAAGGATAATATTTGGAGTTTCCTTCATTAGTGGTAGTATTTGCTGTGTTCCTGGAGCAGTTCAAATCTTGTTTTTTAAAAAAGCTCAAATATTGTTAAAAAAATTTGAAAAATCAAAATGGTACTTGTTTTAAAAAATGAAGTATCAGAAGGTCCCATAGATGCTTTTCTGCCATGAAGAAGAGTGCTTACAATGGAAGGGAGTGAGTTGAAACCATTTGCTGCATTATGAAGTAAGAGGAGATGCTTTTTCTGTGATGCCTAGAGAGATACAAGAGAAAAGTGCCTATAATTTTATTGTCTAACAAAACAGCAAGCATGCAGATTTACCAGTTATCCAAAACCCCTTAAAATTCAGTTTACACTCTATAACCAGTAAGGTTATAAAGGGAATATTTTTCGGACCACGAAGGTCTTTTGGTGATGGACTTTAAAGACGTAAAAGTGGAGACAAATGCTGTGTGCTTAAAGGTATACCGAACAAGCTACACAAAACCATTAAATTAAACAACTTAGCATGTTTCTGTTTGGCAGATTTTGTTACATGACAGTGCTCGTTCATATATCGCTATTATTATGCAGCATATATTAATTTAGAAAGGACAGGAAGGTCTGCACCATCCAGCTTATAGTCCTGATTTGCCATTATTTGGACTTTTATTAAAAAATGCTCTGTAAGGGCATTAATTCTGGTCTGATGAAGATGTCATACCTACAGTTATCAAATAGTTGAATGCTAAGTAAAATTCTTTTTTGCAGGTGATATTTTTCACTATCTTCACTGTCAGCAACACATGCATTTCAATACTTACAAAGACTTCTCATGAATCCTAATACATTCTTGCTTTATTATGCATTGCTTTATTTTATTTCTGGCATACTTGTGGGTAAATCTTTTTCTTTGCTTTAATGAAGGCACTTGAGTAAGTGTCATTAGGTCACTTTATCATGCTTAAATATTACAAGTACTGTAATATGTTTTAAGGCATAAATTTAGATGTATAAGACATATATGACAACTTATGTGTATGAAAAATGTTAATCACTAAAACTTTATTTCAATATATAAAGATGTAATCTCTGTGTTGAAAAAATATTCTATTTATCTCATTTTATTTTATGTGATATAAATAACAAATAAAATGGTTTTCATTTGAAGTTGTTTAATTTTGCTTGTTCATTTTAATTTACATTAATTATATTAATTTTTATTCCAGACCACAGCTTACATCAATATTGTCCGTTACTCATAGATTTACTGGTTTAGTGCTATCTGGTGGTACGTATTAATATATGAAATATCAAATTTTGCACTATGTTTTGTTGTCATAGGTAAAGCTTCCTTAAAAAAGTACTTAAAAATGTATTGGTTGATGTATGATATTAGCCCATTATCAGTGTATTAGTAAGGTGTACAAGAACTGTCTAAAATGTATCTGACTTTTGGCCGGGAAAAATAAATTACTTACATGATGGGATTGGGAGCCTAATTCCCTTCAAAGTAGGCCCTTTGTACCTCCACACACTTAGCCCACTGATCTATCCACTGCCAAAAACACTTTTAGAAAGTTTCTTTTGGAGTGGCATCAATTTCCACCATCATTCTGCATTTTCTCTTTTCTATTCTGAAAACAGGATCCTTTCAATACCATCTTCAATTTTAGAAACAATCAGAAGTCACAAGGAGGGATGTCTGAAGAATAGAAGGTTGGGAGAATGACTGGAATTCCATGTTTTTCTAATAAAGTCTAGATCAAGTGCGGCAATTGCCAGTTTTTGCCATCCAGAGGTATCCAAACTGCACCACAGAGTTGACAAAGAACTTGTTACTGTTTGTTCTGAACTTGTTGGTAGTACTCTTTTATCACTTTTGCCCTTCTGCTGCATACTGGTTATGCTTAATTCTATGAATATCAAAGAACACAACATCACCTTGATTTTGCTTTGTGTATTTTCAGCCTTTGGGATGCTTCCATTGCAATGGTTGTGCTTTTGTTACTAAGTCATACCCATATACCCATGACTCATCTCCAGTCATCACAGTGGTAGTGTCCAGCAGTTTCAGTAAAACCTCAAGATGGAGTTCTTTATGCTCTGCCAACAGCGAATTGGGCACACATTTTACAGCCACTCTGCACATGTTCAAATCAGCATGGAAAATTGCATGTAGAAAATATTTAGTGGTTCCAGCCTCTTCAACAGTCTCTCAAATGATGATATCCTATTACCATATTTTCCACTGTCTGAACAACAGCTACATTTCAAGTGTAGGAAGTCCTTGCTCTTCACTCATATGCAGTCTTTTTTGAATTGGTTGAACTACTCCTTAATTCGTGTTACCTCCTTAGCATCGTTTACAAACACCTGCTGAATCTTGTGAATTATTTTATCTTGAGAATCACCAAGCTTTTGAGAAAATTTGATGCAGTATTGTTGCTCAGCTCTTTAGTAGTCTTGAGATAAATAAAAAATCCGAAAAACACATATCACAGCACCTCTCTTTGTGGTAAGCAGGCACTAAATTTCAGGCATTTTAGTGCCGAAAAAATTTCAAGCTTGCACCTTTAAGCTACTTCCTTCCACTACGTTCTTTGGTGCCATCTTAGCATCATTACTACATACAGGAAAATTCAAGGTGAGATCCTTTTTGGACAGCCCATATATAGAGCACTGCTTGTTTATCCAGCAGATTGTGTATTCAGCAAATGTTCTAAAATGTAAAAACTGTGGATAATACGAAGTAGTGTATTCAACATAATTATTCATATAACATACACATATAAAGTAAAAGTTTTAAGTTGCATATAAGAAATCTAGTAATTTAAAGTAAAATAAAGTGTATTGTCACTTTTTACAACTTCTCTCTTTATGAAAGAATTCAATTCTGACATTTACACAAAAGATGATAAAGCGATGGAAAATATTATACCTTTATTATACCTTTTTAGCAGTGATAGCGAACTTGAGGCTTACAAGCAATTTGTGGCCCATCAAGAATTTTTTTTTTTTTTTTTTTTCTTTTTTTCCTCCCCATAGCCAATAACTAGGTAGATAAAATATATTATTAACCTGTTAATGTGCAGAGGTTCATTTAAGATTTAATTTCATTGACTTAGTTTAGACATATATTTCTAATATAAAGTCTTCTAAAATAATCTTCAAAACTTTATAAAAAGTTTCAGTTTGTAAAATTTCATTCTGTAAAACTAAAATCTAACATTTTATTTAATCCCTACAGAGTAATGATGTTAATAAAATATGCATATTTTTATTATTTAGAAAAAATAATTTCCTTATCTCTCTGTTTTAAATTCATAGGAATACAATTCATATACAGTCAAAAGTCATTAATCCGGACTCGTCGGGACTTTTGGTGATTCCGGATTATAGATCATCAGTTTAAATCTGGTAAGATGGCATGCAGAAATTATAAAGTTAAAAATATGAAACCGTAATTTATGAAATAAAGAACAATTATGATCTAAAGGGTATCAAAATTTACAAAAAAAAAAGCTTAATATTTATTTGTTTACTTTATTAACCATTTCTTTCAATGTAAGTTGTTTAAGTTGCTTCGTTTTTTATGTGATAATACATTCTCTTTAATTCTATAAACAGACATAATTTCTTCTTTAGTTAAAAATTTCCACTGTTCAAGTCCTATAATTGCTGTGTCGAGAATACCGACTAATTTGTCAATCAAAATTTTTTCGTTTTCAATAACCTCTGTCACTTTCTTCGCTATCAGAAGCGAATTATAATGACGAGGAATTTGATTTAAATCATATAAAAGACGGAGTAATAAGCCAAATAAAATAAAAGCATCTGTTCTGAAGATAAGGATAGTGCTGACAGATCAACTTCCAATTTCATTGCACGCCACGGCATTAAAAATAAACAAAGTTTATATAAACAAACATTAAAGTTTAGATAAACAAAGGATATGCCTTTATCCATTTTTTGCAGCAATTCCACTTTTTGTTTAATGGACTTCGAAACATACATCGCTTTGTAGATCCTTACATATTAGTAAATATATATCAGAAATTCTATTTGACATAATCGAAAGTTCAAGCTTACTTTTATAAAATTGCTCTAACAGTCTGCAAAAAACAATAAGCCGAATCTAATTCGAAGATTAATGAACAACGCAATCTGCAACATTAACTGAATTAGATAATTTTAGCTTAGTTTATACCGTCCGTTATACATTAAATGCGCATTCGTAAACGTATTTTGCGCACGCGCACACGCATATTCGCAGCCGTCAATGAGATGCGTGCGCAGAAAGTTTGTAGCTTTGAGGTCCGGATTATAGATCATTCCAGATTATGGGTGTCCGGATTAATGACTTTTGACTGTATAAGCATTTTCATGAAATATGAAGCATTCGTTAATTAATTAAAGTCTGATTTTGTGTCAAAATACCTATTTTAGAACAATGCTATATGTAAATCTAATATATATCATAAGTTGCAATTTCGAGACATGGAAAACACAAGTTGAATTTTGATAATTGGTCTAGTAGAACGGGAGAAAAGTTTCAGTTTGTAAAATTTCGTTCTGTAAAAATAAAATCTAACATTTTATTTGGTTCCTATAGAGTAATGACGTTAATAAAATATGTATATTTGTAATATTTAGAAAATATAATTTCCTTATCCCTCCGTTTGAAATTCATAGAAATACAATTCATATATAAGCATTTTCATGAAATATGAAACATTCGTTAAGTCTCATTTGTCAACAAGTCAGCAATTAATTAAAGTCTGATTTAAATTTGAAAATGCCTATGTTAGAACAATGCTATATATAAATCTAATATATATCCCAAGTTGCACTTTCGAGATATGGAAAACACAAGTTGAATTTCGATAATTGGTCCAGTAAAACGGGAGATATAGAACTGTCTCTCTCTCTCTCTCTCTTTTTCTTTTTGTGCAAGGTGTTAATCAATTATCATGGAATTAAATCATGCTTAATTCTTTCTGGAATTTTTTTGAGGAAATAAGTGTTTAAGATTTACTTCGTAATTTTTAATATAGATATTTTGAGTTTTTATGTATTTTTGCTTCTCACGAAGTGAGAATTGAATTAATTGAATGAGAAATACTCAAATCGTCTGTGAAAAAAACTGTTTCTTTTTTGTTTTTGTTTGCTTAATTCTTTTATACATCGTTCTAGCTTTATTATAGTATTTGATAGAACATGTGGCAACGATTAGATAATCTATTCTTTAAATGATATAAATTTTGTGCATTATGAGTTATAATATGAACGAAATATAATACTGTTAAGTGAATCTAGCACCAGAGTGTCACTATGGTAAACAAATACTAGAGTGAATTTTAAAGAATGCATTTATTCTATTGTGGTTTATGCACTGTCGGCGAAGTAGATTTAATTTGATCCAATAAGTGTAAATGAAATGCAAGAAAAAATGCATATAATTTAATATTCTGTACAAGGAAGTCATGTGGTGTACACATCAGATTTTTTTTTCGAAAACCAGAATGTGTGACATTCCATTTAAGAGTCACAACAATTTCTTACCCTTCTGTTTATTAATAAACAATGTGGTGTACTGTTTTCAAATCACATTGTTTTTAGTTTTTAGCAAAAGGAGTTTCCCCTACCTGAGTGTATACTAAGTCACCTTTAACCTAAAGATATAGAACCACATTTAGAACTAGACTGGCTATAATAGTAATGAACTGATACACTGCATCTGTAGAAACTGCACCTTAAGAAATTGTGCAATTTAGTGGATACACAGATGAGGTTGAGCTAATGAATGGGAGTACTGACATTGATGACTGACTGGTTGTATATTGAATACATGTTGATATCACTAACTGAAGAATTAAATGACGTCTACATAACAAACATTTGTTTTAACTATGAAGACATTGAACAGCAGAGTAGAAACATAATATTACACAGCACTTTGCACTTCTCTCTTACATGCAATACTCACCATTGACTTTTTCTAACTACATATTAACTAAATATAAGTATTACGCAGCAGAGAACTTGCTTATCACGCGCATGCGCTAGGGAAATCGACGGCGATTGCCAACATACCCCTTTCACGTTGATTCTCCCATTCCTGAAAAAAAAAACAAATACATATTAAACAGTATCAATCCTATAATTGTACAACAGTTTTGATGTTTAACGGGAGTCAGGTTTTGGTTACACATCATCTCCATTTCACTGGTAGGTATGTACTTCACATCTAATTCACTGCGTTCATACACTTCACGCACAAATGATGGC